TCTGGTCCTCCTGTTGCTGCTCATTCAGGCATGCCTTGGGACCTGGTCCTTTGTGCTTTCTCACCCGGTTACACCTAACTGATTGTCTGAAAAACACCTCTGGTGCCTGCGTAGGTTTGTGACATGCCTCGGTGGTTTTGCAACTAGGCCTGAGGTTGTTGGGCTGGGGTCTTTCAGAAGATTTGTCATCTTCTAAAAAAAAAAATTTGATGACCAAGCACCTAGCAACAGTTATTATAGCAGTTATTATTATTCTTGTATGGTTTTTGTACAGTATAGAAAAAAATACTTATTGAAAATTACCTGCTCCAACCCACCATATTTAGTTTTCTTGCCTGAACCCCAGTTGTCATTATGAGCTCTTGACCCAGTTCTAGTAGATGCAGTAACCACATCAGTTAATGGGATCACCCTCCCTGGGCTTGAATGCAGACTCCAACAATTTAGCCTTTCTGTGCTTTAATTACGTCACTTGTAAAACTGCAAATAATAGCACATCACAAGATTTAGTAAATGTGGTAAACATGGTGGGTCACGCTTGAAACCCCAATGACTTGGGAAGCTAAGGTAGGAAGAATGCAACTTCCAGGAGTCTCAGAAACTTAGAGAGACTCTGTTTCCAAGCGGTAGCGCGCTCGCCTGGCATGCGTGCGGCCTGGGTTCGATCCTCAGCACCACATAAAAATAAAGATGTTGTGTTCGCCGAAAATGAAAAAATAAATATTAAAATTCTCTCTCTCTCCTCCGCCTCCGCCTTAAAAAAAAAAAAAAGACTACCATGTGGGTGGTGTTACAGTGAGACCATTTGACTCCTTATGATAAAGAACAAGCAACCCCCCGAGGGGTTCCTGGGAGGCTACCTAAGGTGTGCAAATGCCACATGACGATGAGGGCAGAACGTCAAACTCGGATCTGTACAAATAGCAATTTCGATTAAGCGTCGATGGCCCAGTGATATTTGGCGGGAACTTGAGAACATAGCGCAAAGGAAGTGACGTAAGGAGTCGTTCACTTGACAGGAGTGGAATTACGCGTTTTACGGAAGTGTTGTTTTGATTGGCTGTTTTCTTTAGATACCATCCTATCAGCATCTCGTACCTCCTTTCGTTTGCTTGTGCGACAGGTTTTGCCCTTAGTAAAGATGGCCGCAGAAGCTTCTGGTTCCACTTGCGGCCGTGCGCGTTTTTGGAATCCTGGCCTGAGGAGACAGGAAAAAGCGTAGGATTCGTGAGCGTTGATTGGCCGAAGCGAGAAACGTCCTTGGCGCTCACTGGCTCCGTCATTCGCGGGAAGGAATTTGTGGCGCCAGAAAAAAGTAGAAACAACGTTGTCGCAGCAGCGGGATTCTGAGGAGTTCGGSGAGCCCACCAAACCGGAACTTTCTGGACTTCTTTCCCAAAGAAATCGCGACGGACATGTGGAATAGTAATGATGGGTGGGGCGGGAGGAGGAGAGGCGCGGGAGGATTTAGCCGGAGCGCGAGYCTCGGGTGGGAGAGACAGGTGGCGGCGAGTGGCGCGGGGAGTGTGGAGGAGAAGATGAGGAAGATGGGGCAGTGTTTGGGAGGCCTGAAATGTCTGCTCCCAGACCTGGCAGACAGCACAGGTACTAATACTGTCGTTCAAAAACAGGTGGATTTGAAAGCTATAGCAGCTCCACCACCTTTGGGGGAGCCAGCAGCTACACTCAGTCCCCGGGGGGCTTCGGATCGCCAACACCTTCCCAGGCTGAAAAGAAATCAGTAGGTTGAAAGACTTTGTTTTGTTTTATTCCATTCTGTTCTGAAGCTCTTCACTCACCCATAAGAGAAATTTTTTGAGGCGAAGTAAGGGTGTTAAACACGAACTGATGGTGTCCCATGTCTTTAYGATTAGATGCTGTGAACTTTAAAAATGACATTTTCTGGGCTGGGATTGTGGCTCAATGGTAGAGCGCTYGCCTAGCACGTGGGAGGCCCTAAGTTCGATCCTCAGCACCACATAAAAATAAATAAATAAAATAAAGGTATTGTGTCCAGCTGCATCTAAAAAATATAGATTTTTTTTTTAAATGACATTTTCCCTAATTTCGCATCCGCAGTTCTTCGGCTTTGTTTTGAACTTGACCATAGTTAGTGAATCAGTCTTGTGGAAAAACTCTGAACTTATGTTAATAACTTGTTTTACATTGTTTGTGTATTCAGAGGCGTTTTCTAATTAATTGTGGGGAGGTAACAAACTGCAGTGGAAAGAGCATGATTCTCTAACTTTGCTTGCAGCAGAGCATTGCATACTTTTGTTGACCCATTGTGTCCTATCATTTTAGATACAGAACATCTATAAAAAATGATAAAATTTATAGGACATCTATAAAATCGCTCAATTAAGTTTGTATAGATGTCCTGCATAAAGAACAGTGAGTCGATGAAATATTATTAATCTTCTTGGGAGTCAGTTTGGCACCCACTAAATGAGGTTAAACACATACTTTCCTTACAGGGTTGTAGTGAGACTTAAATACAAAGTGCCTTCCCTGTATAAAGGGTCCCTGATGTCATTACTAAAAAGAATATGGGTTTTAGAGGCAGAATACATAGGCTACAGAATTRATTTTGCCTTTTAAGTGGCAGTCTGACTTTGGGGAAGCAACTTGAAGCCTGTGACCCTTCGCTTTTCACACTGGTTGATGGTACCAGTACTACTGATATCACAGGATGGATCTGAAAATTGGTAAAGAGAACATGTAGGAATGTGATCTATAGGAAGCTGTCTAAATGTTTATTCACTCTTAACCATATGCTGTTGGATTCATCTTGTAATACAGAATTGATTTGGCTTCTCTATAGGTGTCAGATGTGTTGTTAAAATTCAATATGAGCAGGTTGTATGTTGCCATACAGGATGATAAGCCTTACCTAACACTTTTAATTCAGAAGTATGTGTGGGTGGTGGTGGAGGGGAAAATTCACTGATAATTCCTATACATTTGGTCATTGCTTTATATTTTTTATGCAGTTTAATTTCATTTAGTTGTATAAGGTGGTTATTCCAATGTACAGCAGAGATTCAGTGTATTTAAGGACATAGCTAGTGAGTAATTGGAAGCAGAGAATGCATATGTGATACTAGGCAGATTCAAAATCTGGTGAGCAGCAGCTTCTTTTCTTTTTTCTGGAAAATCAGAGGTGACTTCACTGCCTGTCTTTTAATTTTTTTTTTTTTTTTTTTTTGGTGTGGGGGATTGAACTTAAGGGCACTTGACTACTGAGCCACATCCCCAGCCCTATTTTGTATTTTATTTAGAGACAGGGTCTCACTGAGTTGCTTAGCACCTTGCTGTTGCCGAGGCTGGCTTTGAACTCAATCCTCTTGGCTCAGCCTCCTGAGCCACTGGGATTACAGACCTGTGCCACCATGCCTGGCTTCTATTTTTAAAATTAAAGTTTTACATGGAATCCAGGGCCTTGTGTACCAAGTGTAACTACTGAGCATACTCCCAGCCCCTGGGGTTTCATTTCTCCAACTTTATCTTTCTTTTTTTTTCTTCTTTTTCTTTTCTTTTTTTTTTTTTTAATTATTTTTTAGTTGCAATTGGACCCATACCTTTATTTCACTTATTTATTTATTTTTTATGTGGTGCTGAGGATTGAACCCAGAGTCCCATACATGAGTAGGGTGAGTACTCTACCACTGAACCACAACCAGCTCCAACTTTGTCTTTCTTTAAAGAGAAAACAGGAGATGGATTACTAGTTCTTATTTTTTCTCAAACTTAACTATTTTTCTCCATTCTGGTTATTAGAATTTTTAATTTTRAAATCTCCAGTTTGGGCTATGCATTAAAACAGCTTCTCAGAAAAGAATGATGGTTAGTAAGTTAGATAAAAGCCCTCTCTCAAATGTTTCCTATGGATTATAAATTTGTTATATTTGGTTGAAATTTCCTATGCTGACCATTTCTTATCTATATTGTGATTTTTTTTTCATACAATACTGTTAGAATAGCCCGTGGTTCATACTGTTATGAATATTTAATTTAAAAAAAATTAAACGTACTTTTGCAGGTACCTTTGAACAATCCAAAGAACCCTTTTGATCAGTTCCTGACATACAATATATGCTAAAAAAGAAAACCAAGAAATACCTGATTTAAGATGATTTAGAAGACATTAACACCTCAACCATGTCCCATATGTAACTTTTTTTTATGAGAGGAGTAATAATATTTATTTAATATCTACTATGTACAGAGATTGGCATTAGCACTTTATATACATTGTATGTTTTGCTTAGAACTTGAAAGGTAGAGACACTCACTTTCAGAACAGTGGCCACAGCTTCAAGCTGAGTATCTCCACATCTGTCCAGGCAGTGGGCCAGGAAGGGGAGCTGAGGAGATGTCCCCAGRAGGGAACATAGCTTTCTTTCCAGACCTTCTTGGTACCACTTCCTCTGTTGCACCTCCCCTACCCTGCCCCAGTTCACTGGACTCCATACAGACTGAGCTACAGAGGGAAGTTAGGAGCTGGCACAAAACTCAGACATTAGGAGGGGCGGGAAGTGGAGGGCTGAGGGAGATAGGGCTCTGAGGAGCAGAGCACAGAGGAGAGGGTTGGGCTTAATGGGTCAGACCTGTTGTGCAAAGCCTCTGGCTCCTCTGTACCCATCTATCCTGCCATTGCCTATGGTATTTTATAGGTGAAGTTATGTTAATATTTATATTATTTTCAGAGGTTCTAGGATTTATGTCTCATAATCTACCATATTTCTGTTTTAACCTATCACAACTGAGGTGTTCATAGTATTTTCAGCATAAATCAGGAACCTGCACAGAAAAGCAGCAAAGACATGGTTGTGGGGCCAGAAAGTACTCTAGACCTGTACTCAAATCCCAGCTCCATAGCTGTGGTTATGCCACCACCACCTGGTTTGACCCCAGCACTGCAAAAATAAAAAATAATTTAAAAAAAAATCCAACTCAAGAAAACTCTTTTAGGAAATTGCTATTTCAAATTAAAAAATAAAGGGCTAGAGATGTCACTCAGTGTTACAGTGCCTCTGGGTTCAATCCCCACCAAAAAAAAAAAAAAAAAAGGTATTGAAGGAGGCAAATCCTGTCTTACTTATCTTTATGTCACCCAGATTACCCCTTCTCAGTGACAGGCAAAAATAAGAGTTTATACTTTTGTCACGCTGCTTTAGGATATGATTTGAGTGTCTGCAGTAGAATCTTCTGTCCATCCCATCTTCTCACAATTAAAATGTCCAACATGGCTAAGCTCTTGCCTCATTTTCCTTAGAAATTCCATCTGATTGTTAGAACATCTGTTCTTAAGAAAGCCATACATCTAACTTTGTTACATTTTATTAGAAGACTAGAACTCTAAAGTTCTATCTCTGCTGCCTATTTATCAAACCCTTTCCCAATGCTTTGTCATCTCATCAATGCCCTGAACAGCCTGCCTTCACCCTAAAGCTGTGGTTTTTTCCTAAATGTTCTGGCAGCAAACCTTATCTTAATCTCCTTTTGGGTCTACATRTTTGGGAAAATCCACAGTGCAACACAGACTCATTCTGTAGGAACTTTGGAGACAGGTAAACAAGTGTTTGAATTCCAAAACATTTGTTAGCTTTATGACCTTAGTTTCTGTCTGTAAAATAAGAACAATGAGTTTAATTTTGAAAGTTTCAYGTTCTAATATATTTAAACTACTTAGCACATGGTGACTATTAAATGAGTGACAGTTGTTATTCTCTCAATTTAATTTATGTACAACGTTTTTTCTTCAGAGAGCCCGAGCCCAGCACATTGTACCCTGTACCATATCTCAGCTGCTTTCTGCTACTCTGGTTGATGAAATGTTCAAAATTGGGAATGTTGAAATTTCACAGGTGTGTAAAAGAATTTGTAGAAAAGTCACTTAATCATGAAAAGAATGAAATAAT